TCCTCCCCAGTGGGCCAAGGTAAATTTCGATGCTATTTACAATAAAAACAACTCTTGGTCAGGAGCTCTGGTAAGAAATTGCGAGGGCCAAATCATGAGAGCAAGCAAACGAAGGATTGGTTGTGCTACCTCGACGTTCGCGGTTGAAGGCCAGGCGACAATTCTTGCAATTGATCTGGTGTTTGATTTGGAGTTCCAGTTTGTGATTGTTGATGTTGACTCTCGTTCAGTAATCATGAAGCAGGCCTCTGATAAGCATGATCTTTCTGAAATTAGTGCGTTTATTTGGGATGCAAAGTGTCGTTCAAAGGATTTTCATGCATGCTCTTTCTCATTCTCTCCTCGTTTCAGCAATCACACGACCCATCTTCTAGCCAAAGCTGTTGACCGTTTCACCGATGACATGTTCGAGAGGTGTCTCTACAGGTTGCTGAAGATGCTCGATGTTTGTATCCTCCCTAGATCCTCTTCGTTCTGGAGTTTTCTTTGCTTTCTAGGCTCTACAGATTCGCTCTCTCTTCTACTGCTCGTTTCGTTTCTTCTATCTAGCTTTCTTCTTAGCAGTGGAGTTTGAATGGTCGGCTCCAATCTTTACATTTCAGTTTTCTCTTTTTGCGTTTGTTTTTCTTATGTTGCCTTCTATTTTGTCTAGCTGTATTCCACTTTTATGTCTTGGTTGTCTCACCTTCATGTTTTTCTAGGGGACCTGCTTTTCCTATTTTTAAACAATATGGGTATGGCCGGCGATTCCAGTTTCAAAACGAAATTGAGGGCAGAAATTTTATAGGTTATTGTAATTTTTAGAGTTAATTGTACTATATGTATGACTCTCATTTTAAATTGGTATATAAATTTTTAAATATTTCAATTTTATCCCTAAAGTATGACTATGATTCTAAATTAATCCTTAATTTTTTTAATATTTCAATTTCATTCCTAAATTATAACCCTCATATTCTAAATTGATCCCGAAACTTTTTCAAAATTCCAATTTCATCCCAAACTATACGTATATACTGATTACATCCCTTGCCAGTAAAATTGTTAGGCCAGGTTATATTATTGTATGTTTTGGAAAAAAATTAGGTTAAATTATGATTGAAACTAATTACATATTTGGATGAAATTGGAATGTTTATGAAGTTTTGGGACCAATTTAGAATGAAGGTTATATTTTGGGGGTGAATTTGAAAATGTTCAATAGTTTAAGGATTAATGTAAAATAAGATTCATAGTTTGGGGTGAAATTGAAATGTTCAATAGTTTAAGGAATAATTCAAAATAAGAGTTATAGTTTAGGAACATATGATGAAATTGACTCTAATTTTTAGATATAAATAAAGATTATATTTCTAGAGATCAAAATGGAGCTAAATGTGAAAAGAGTGAAAAACATAGGGATGTTAGAGGAAAATCGGAGGAATCATTTGGGCGGGCGTGAAGATAAGAGGACGCTTATGGTAATTTTGAGGTGAAACTTTGGGCATTAAATAGGGGAGTGGACGCACGTACCCTTCACAAAATTACTCTCTTCAATGCAATTAAATCTCCTTTCTCTTTTCCTTTTTAAGCTTCTGCTCCCCACAACACATCCTTCCCCCTTTCTTATAAAATAAAATTAGGAAGAGATAATAGGGATCACGAGCGGTTTGTTATCACACTAACATCCATTATATAACGGTAAATGTGTAATCTAAAATTGTTATTGTATGATCGTGATGTCTACAATCACCACAACAGCATATGTTATGTCCGTAATAACAATAAACGCAACACAACAGAAAACGTAATGATAACCGTAATTTAAATATTTGATGAGAGGCTACACTCGTATACAAGAATCTAAAAAAGACATTAGTATTTATAAATCATAAAGTTTGATTCGAAAGAATAATAAATTTGATTTAATAATAATAGAATTGAATCTGAACACCGTGATATTTGATTTTAAGGGTTTCAAAAGCGTAGCGCATTGTGTAGCCCGAGAGTAACCATGGCATCTGCCATCCTTTTTTGTTTGATCTTTCCCTTTCCTCTCTCTTTTGAATCTCCTTTTCATTGTGGCCAACCAAGTACGCTCTTGATGGACCTTAGAACATGGATCATATAAAACTTGTATAACTCCAACTAATGGAACAAATCAAGAGAAAGCACTTCATAAAGACAATCAAATCCATTTTTAACTTTTAGGATGGGAATGTAAATAAAGAACAGCATAGAGTACATTTGAGAATTAACAAAAAAGTACAAGTGCAAAACAGAAAGTGCTCCATTACAATATTCCCTCAGTCAGCAGCAACCACCGGGAGAGAAAGAGGAGATTTTGCGACTCATAAAGACTTTACTGAAACGAGAAAAACGTATTTAATTTTCACAACCTTCATATTCTTTACTTCCTCTCCTCTTGTTCTTCACCCACAAGCCAAAGAATAAAAAATTAAGTGAAAAAAGAAGAAGAGGAAACCAGCTTGTTGTAAATGGAATCATAACTTGCCTTATCTTTGTAGACCAACAAAAGAGAAAAGAACCAAACTCAGATATCAAAAATGGCAACTTTCTTCATTTCCAGCTATCTCACAGCCCTGACTTGCCTTGTTTTCTTCTTCAAAATCTTGGCTGCAGAGCAAAGTTCATCTTTTTCTTTCAAAAGTTTTGGTAAAGATCCAAAATTTGAGGCCAATATTGCATTATATGGGGATGCTCATGTTGGTAATGATGGCTCTTGGATTCAACTTACTGACTCGGTGAGTTGGAGTGCTGGGGCAGCCATGTACGAGAAACCCATCAAGCTTGTTGGAGGTAAAGTCAGGAACTTTGCTTCTTTTTCAACTTACTTTTCCTTCTCAATGTCTCGCGGAAATGGTGATGGTTTGGCTTTTATTATGGTTCCTAGTAGTTCTAAAGTTGATGTATTGGGGAACAGTTCGTTTGGGGTTTCTCTTGGATTGGAGAAAAGCAAAAGTAGAATTGTTGCTGTAGAATTTGATACTTTCAGAGATGTCAATCATGGTGATTTGGATGAAAACCATGTGGGTATTGATATGAGTAGCCTTACATCAGTTAAAGCCAGAAATTTATCATCTCTCAATTTGGTGCTAAACAATGGGGAGAGATTACATTGTTGGATTGATTATGAAGCAACTTCAAAGACACTAGAGATTAGATTGAATCAATCTGGTAGTTCCAGGCCAGATGATCCGTTGCTTTCGTATTTGGTCGAAGCTATGGAATGATGAAGTGTTTGTGGGGTTAAGCTCTTCAAATGGCAAGTCTTCACAGACATGCTTTATTCGCTTGTGGAGTTTTAAGCTAAGGCAGGTTCCCAATTGGATGCATTCCCAACCAATTGATCCCCAGGTTATTGCAAAGAACCCCAAACCTTTGACGGCAGCCCCCAAGAACAACAAATGTTTTTGGAAAGTGCTCGCCGTGTTCGTATTCGGCGGTGCTTGCGGAGCCTTGACAGCTTCTCTCGTGCTGTACCTACTGAGCGTCTTCGGTGATAGGAGACCTGTGGGGCCTGAAGAGTGTGTTGCGGATCCTGTGGGGCCTGAAGAGTGTGTTGCGGATCCTGTGGATTTTGAATTCATTAAGAAGGTCAAAGTGGTAGTAGTAGACGATGCTGTCAAAGATGGCAATAACTAGATTTGTGATTGAATGTTATGTTGTAAATTGATGATTTGTAGTTGCAGGTTGTGTTTACATAGTGTTTTTGTGTTGCTTGCCTTAACCATGTTATGACTCTTAAATGCATAATTCATGTGCAAGTTCTTCACTGTATTACCTAATTATTTCTTCATCTCCCCATGTTTTAATGCTTAAAATCTGTGCTTGGCATATACTTTGACCTTATTCGAGCAAAGATGCATTGATTAAATGGGCCTGTGATTTTGCTAGTCCTTAACAATGAATCGATTTGAGCACACTTAATGATAAGAATAGAAAAGGAATTCAGTATATCTAACATTCGTATTGGCACACGCTTTCCAGATTAATTCTTCCTGGAATTTGCAACTTCTTAGCATTGTTTTCTATTCCATGATAAAATCCAAGAAATTTCTTAAATTCTTGTTCGGGGCATTCAAGTATCCACAGATCAGCTATATGCTTCGTTTAGACTATTTAATGTTATCCTACAGTATCTCTATCTCTACGAAGATGAAACAATAATTTATCTCCAACATTATCTCTACATTACCACCAACTCTACTTTATTCACAATATTTAACTATTAATATGTTTATTTTCTCTAATTTCAATGTATTTTTATCTATCTTACAATTTAATCTACTTGACTTTATTATATTATATTTAATTTTTATTTTATTATGTAGAAATTACAATAAAAAAACCTAAAATATATAATAAGAGAAAATAATGTAACAAAAAAAAAGAAAATAATAAAAGAAAGTAAAAAAAATAACAAAAACTAAAAATAAATATTGAAAGTAGAGATGAGCTAGAGTTTAAATTCATCTCCAAAGTGAAGATTTTCTCTACTCTAATGATGCACCAAAGATGGTTAAGAGATACAATTGGAATTAATTGGATACCTCAAAAAGATTTTTCAAAAAAATATTGAAAATGATATTTGATCTTCACATGCGTATCTAAAATTATTTCTATGGTTTACGTAACAAAAAATATAGACGAATTATTATATAATTTTAATATCATCCATTGATCAGCTTCCTATGCCATAAAGTAGGTTGAAATCTCTGATAAAGATAATATCATGAAGCATAAAGTAGATTACATTCTGTTTAATCAACTAGAGTCCACATTCATATTCAAGTTCAATAGAGATAGCTCTCCCATGGCCTTAACTCATAAGGGGTTTCCCGGATGTCTTGAGAAAACTAATCAATCCTAAGCTATCCAAAAAGATAGCATATGTCAAGTTTTGAGGGTTAACCACATTGTTCATGGAACAGCCCCAAATCTTCCAAGACAAATGAAAACTCGACCTTAACAAGCAATGGACATGTTACAAAAACAAGACAGGATCTCAGTACGGAAAATTATCTTCAACCCCTTTCCAAGGAAAGTTCAGATAGATAACGCAGTTTATAAAATACCATCATGGATCCAATGAAAGCATCGATTAACAACCAAGGGGATGAATTTTTTTTAACCAATTAATTCAGCAAGAAACAAAAACAAAAGTTAAACTGGATCTCAGTATGAGATTAGTGTTATCTTCAGTTCCTCGCAAAGAAGGTATGATCAGATAGATAACGCAGTATAAAGTTTCAATCTTTGATCCAAAAACAAAAAACAAAACATAAAAACGGAGTTTGAAAGAGAGTTGAAAACGAAGCATCTCAGATATAAAACGCCCACTTTGTTTCTTCACTGACAATCAAAGTGCAAGGATAACAATTTAATCATCTCATCATTGATGCCTCTTTTTCCAATATATGAAGAAAAAAAAAAGAGCTTCAAAGTTTAAAAACACAAACCAATCATCTGAATATGAATATTCAGATTGCTTTAGAGAGAGAAAAAAAATGGCACCTTCAAACATTGGATGCCCAAGGTACACCGAATCAGGCAGAGGCGGTGTTCGCTGCCGCTTATATAGAACAAACCCTAGAATTTTCAGAAAAGCCCTATAAATTTATGGGTGTTATTCCCTTTGTTTGAAATGTTATGGACCGGAATAAGTCCAAGGTTTTTGGGTCTAAAACTTAATATTGTTGAGCTATTTCACTAAACTGAATGTTAAAGGTATTTAAATTAGACATCATTTATTTAATTTTCTTTATTAAGTTATGGTGATTACAAAATATTAAATGTTTTAAATATTCTCAATCATTTGAAAATGAATACTTAATTATTCATATTGGGGTCGTTGGTGCTTGAACCTAGGACCTTTAGAAATAACAATCATTTCTTTAACTATTGAAATAATTTGATTCGTCTTCATTTATTTAATTTTAAAATTGATAAAAATTTAAGAAAATGATATTTTTTTAATAGTATAAAGTATTATGTGGTGATATTTATTTCAAATTTTTTTAGTTATTGATAAAACACACCTTATAGATATAATTGTTTAAATTTAGATTCTCTAAAAGGAACAATATTATCTATTACCATTAAGAAAATTTAATAAGTTATAAAATCTAACATATTTAATTAATTAATTATAATTTTAATATTTTTATTACTTTAAGACGATTATAATGAAATATCTATTCGATCATTAAATAATGAACCTCAAAGACGATATACTTAAAAATAAAATATCTAAAAAATAATAATTATCTTCCTAACTTTTAGGGATAATTTTAATATTTTTCACCAAAATGTTTAGTATTTTTCAAATTATAGAGATTAATATGTCCCTCATAAAAATAAAGTGATTGAAATGAACTTTTAACATATTTCAAGGACTCTAAGTAAACTTTAACCAACTGGAGAACAAGGGCTGATTCTTCACTGACGCAGAGGTCGTGGATAAATGAAATCCACCAAGTCATCTCCAAATTCGAGCCACAAAACCCTAGTGACATAGGCGTATGGAGTCTTTACTCCTCCCCCAAGCAATGGCATTACGACAAAATAAGCACTCGGTTGAACACTCCAGAAATTAAGACTCAAGGCAAATCCAACACTTCCTTCCCTTGTTTCTGGCTATATAAGTTTCCCCCTTGAATCCTTCAATTCAAGCTCAAATCTTTTTTTTTCCCAAACCCCAACTTGTTTTTCTCCGACATGGGTCTGATTTTCGGCAAGATCACCGTGGAAACCCCAAAATACGAGGTTGTTCAATCCACAGCCGATTACGAAATCCGAAAGTACCCACCTTCAGTGGCGGCACAAGTCACATACGATCCATCACAGTTCAAGGGGAACAAAGACGGCGGCTTTACCTTGTTGGCGAATTACATCGGCGCTTTAGGCAATCCCCAGAATTCGAAACCGGAAAAGATTGCAATGACGGCTCCGGTGATAACTAAATCGTCCGACAGTGAAAAGATTGCCATGACTGCTCCTGTGGTTACGAAGGGCGACGACAATAACACGGTCACCATGCAGTTCCTGTTGCCGGCTACGTACAAGAATGCGGAGGAGGCGCCTAAGCCGTTGGATGAGAGGGTGGTTATAAAGGAGGAAGGTGAGAGGAAATATGCGGTGGTGAAGTTCGCCGGAGTAGCGACGGACAAAGTGGTGGAAGAGAAGGTGGAGAATCTGAAGAAGAGCTTAGAGAGAGATGGATATAAGGTGACTGGTGACCACTTGTTGGCTAGGTATAATCCTCCATGGACCATACCAGCTCTTAGGACTAATGAAGTCATGTTACCAGTCGAGTGAATGTCTGTTTACCTGTTCTTTTTCTTACAATTATAAGCATTTGTCTGTATATCAGACATGAATGGGGAAATCTGATTCCTTAAGCTACAAAAATGGTGTCACCAGAAGATGAGTTTTCTCTTATTCTACCATTTTCCGAGTATTATACATACATGATAAGTGGCTTAATCAGAGAATAACTTGATTACAATAGTGATGCTATTGAACAGTATAAGTGGCAGTATGAGGAATTGTCGAGCATGTAGGACGGGCATGGGACTCGAATTCAATGGATTCTTATCCAACCTGATCGGATTGGATTTTTTTTAAAAATATTTGGGTTCAGGTCAGGTTTGATTCAAGTTTAGAGTAAAAAATACTAGACCTGACCTGAAAAAATAATTTTATCTTATATATTTAGAAATAATTACAATAATACCCCTCTATATATTATTTTTTCAATAATACCCCTCCAAAGATCCTAACTCCATTAGTAGTCAGAATCTGAGAAATGGGGACCTCGGATGTAACGCCAGCAGCTCGAACCGCTCCTTGTAACATTTGAGATTCTCATTTAACATTACTTTAGCAGGTTTGGTTCAGAAACGGTCGCTCCTATAAATGGAGTAGTCAAACCTATACCAGAAGTAAGGAGCAGATCCATCGAGGTCGCAGGAGCAAAATTATTTATCGAAGGCGAGGTATCTATACACATCTCGTCTACGGTCCGCAAACCTAGTCGCTCGACCTCGCCCATGACCAGGTTAACGACCATGCTTAGCACTCATGCTTTGTACTCATTTTGGAAAACCTCAAGTTCACTACAGAAGGATGAGCCTAGGATTAATTTTGACACTTGGAATCACGCACACAACTTAACTCGTAAAAACTTAGTGGCATGACCTTCGTAACTTATTTTATAAAACATTTTAAAACCGTATTTTTAGTTTGGACCCATTCATTGTTTAAAAATCAAAAGCTCTGATATCAAAATGTAAACCCCTAGACTCGGCCTATGCGTTACGACCAGATCTAGTGAATAACAATAAAGTTTTCCAAAACATTTTTCAATAACTTAAAATTATATTTCAAATAAGCATCTTTAAAAATATAGTTGATAATATTAAAATTCAATTCCAAACATTTAAAATGTTAAGGACCGAGTAAAATAAAACATTTCATAATCAGTGTCAAAGCAAATATGACAGTAGTAACAAAAGTAGTATAAATTGTAAAATAAGTACTTTCGAAATATAGGCTAAATGCAACTCAGAAGATAAATACATTACAACAAAAGGTATTGTACGAATGTGTCGATCCTCTAAGTGCCAGGTTTGGGACGCCTATCAAAAGTATATGAAATAGAAAAGTTTAGGGGAGTAGGCTAGGGAACACAGTGTGTTCCAACAATGCAGAAATAAACATATAATTAAGATTTCAAAATCAATTTGACATTAAATTCATGAAACGTCAGTAGAGTTTTCAAAATCAATTCAGTTCCAAATTGTGAAAATGTCAGTAGTGTTTTTTGCTTAAAATACAAAATCTCCCTCCAACCGAACACCATATGCAGTCCCCAGAACTACATCCATAAAGACTTACCCTAGGCCCAAAGGACGTAAGTACCAACCTAAGGGAGCACCAAGATCTATAAGGTCTTACCCTAGTCAAAGCGTAGGTGCCCACCTAAGGGGTGTGCCCTCAGGCCCATAAGGACTTACCCAATGCACATAGCAGAGGTGTCACCCTAAGAGAGTACCTTAGGGTCAATAAGGCCTTACCACTAGGTATATTGGGCCTAGAAGCCCACCCAAGGTTCGTCTTAAATCCATAAAGAATTACCAGCTTGATCGGTATGAACCTATATAAGGAATTATCAGTTTGACCGAAGCTGAACCTATAGAGACTTAATACCAAATCCCATAGTACCTTGAAGAAAAATATTTTTCAGACAATAACCAGTGATAGCAGAAAATCGGAGTTCAAACATATATCAATTCAGTAAAATCAGTAACCAAAGAACAAGAATCAGATAATCATGCTTAAATTTTAGTAAATAAAAAATCAGACTTTGAATCAGATAAATCATACGGAAACAAGTCAAACAAATAGTCACAATACAAATCAGTTAAAACAATTATGTGCACATGGTAGTTCAAACAAATATTTAAAACAGATATATGGCACACAATGAACACACCTCACAAAAAGAAACAATCTGAAATATCTACCGAGCACCAACTTCACTTCGTTTTTAAACTTTACGAGAACCTAATTCATATCAGAACAGGGTTATAATTGGAGGAATAATATGAACTGAATCTTTAACAAGGTTACAAAACTATACGGGTAATCATGGGCTCGCGAAGACGGACCGATCGGGAGAAACCAAGTCGAGCAGACAAACGGTCAGGAGATCCACGAGTACCTTAAATAAACGATAACATAATTCAGTTATTAACCTTAAATTAAATGAACTTAATTAAATTGCTTAAATTATATATGCATATTTGAGTTTGATGGTCAATTTGGAGGCTTTCGAGTTTAAATTTGGTAAAACGAACTTCGAATTCGAACTCAAGATGTCAAAAAACATAAAAAAAATAACTTTTTGGAAAATTTGACTTTTTGTCAAAGTCAACGATCAAAGTCAACGGTCAACAGGAAAGTCAACAATTAGGTCAAAGTCAACGATTAAGTCAAAGTCAACGGGTCAGACCGGTTCGGGTTGAATCAGCTCGGTCCGAGTTGACTAGACAGGTTCAAGTCAGTTCATTTCGATTAGACTATTTCTAGAAGGTTTCCAGGAGCAAAGACGAGCCCCACGCGCACGCGGCGACGCGTGATGACGACGGCGGGTCAGGGGGAGGTTGCTACTACTCCACGATCAACCAAACATCAAATCCAATCAACAACAATGCTCAAAACCAACTAAATCCATCGGAAACAAACGAATAAGGTCGAAATGCTTACCCCATGTCGATGACGGGGAAAAACAACGGCGACAATGTCCTAATGGCTGGGTTTGAGCAGACGACAACGAGGAATTCAGTTGTGGAGGCGGTGAGGCAAGCCGATGAGCGAGGTAACTGGAATCCAAGAATATCCGACGCTTGACCTAGGTTTTCGGCGATTTTCAAACGGCTCCCCATGACTAACGGCAACTGCTAACGACGATTGGCCATGGAGGTTTTGGTCGGGCTAGCAAGACGTGTCGTTTGGGTTGGGCGGTGCACTCTACCGCTGGCCGGAGGTAGATGAAAGGAGACGGTGGACGGAGGTTAAGGGGTTTGGTTCCTCAATCGAGGGGGTTTGAAATAAAACGGATTATCACCCAACCCAAATATAATAAAGAGAAAACATATATTTTATTAAATAAAATGTTAATAGCAGCCTAGCTCAGTGGCTAAGGTATGAGAACCTTTAACTAGGTTCAAGCCCCCTTAGCTACCCAAATCCTTATTTTTTTTTATTTTTCAACTTACTAGAAAAATGAGATAATTCAGGGTTAAGTCTATGAGCTTCCTAGATTTCTGAAACTAGCTCAAAAAGTTTCAGAAACTTGCACTTTAGTTCTTAAAATCAAATAATTTATTTAATAAATTTAAAATTGAGATTGGGGGTGTGACATTGCAACTCTTCATTTACGAAACATAATTTATGCTGCAGGAGCCATGGTTGCTTCATGAATTTAATGAGGATTTTTATGGAGAGGAATTGCGTCTTGTCATAGTTGGCTATATACGACCAGAAGTAATCACTCAAATTAGTTAGCATGCTTTCGCAGTCCCCCCCTTTTTCTTCCCCGGTTGTAATATTGTGCTTTTTGCTAACGAGTTTTGCTTGCTAACAGGTTAATTTCCAATCCCTTGAAAGCCTGATAGCGAAGATTCACGACGACAGAAGAATTGCAGAGAGAGCCCTTGATCTGCCATTGTACTCAAAGCACAAGGATGATCCCTATCTAAATAGTTCTTTGCACAGTGAAAGCAACCATGCATGATCTTTCTGATTTTCAGGTTTCATTCGGACAGAGACTAATTTGTGAAATTAGTATTGCCTTCTTTCATGAAGCATGTCAATCCTTACAAGCACATTGATCATCTGTTAGTCATATGAAAATCTCATTTCCTCACTTGTACTTTTATATATTTCATTTTCATCTAAATCATTTATGTCTTCATGTCGATGAAAAATATAAATATTTTACTCTAAATATTAAACTTAAAAATTAAATTATCCTTTTTACCTATGTGAGCTTATATATGTGTATAAATGTTTAATTTTTAAATGTTATTTATGCACGGGTTAGTTCTCATCTCACCTCTTGGAATGAACTGTTGTTCAGATTATTCTGAATTTATATTGGTTTGGATTTCAGTTTGATTCTTCTCATCTTTCTTGTTTGGAATAACATTTTTACTAAAAACTATATTTCCTATGAACTCGCATGCCGGAAACGAGGGAAACATCATAATACAAAAGGAAATGCATCTCCAATGCTCAAAACAACAAACCTGTGCCTGTCTTTGTCACTCTCAAGCAGAAAGGAAAACAAATCTAAGAGGGAGAAAACCGAAGAAACAGAAGAAATCAGCTTAATTTCTGCCTCTCCAAAATCCATTTCCGAGATCGGTTTACAAACTTGGAATCAATTTTCACATACAACTGCTGCATTTTCCTGCATCCAAGTATGGTATACGGATCGATATAGTCTTCATATCTCTCATAAAGCGTTGGAACTGTGAGAACTACAACAAGGCCTGCTAGAAGCAAAGTGCAGTTACAAAACTAAGACACCAAACCCGTAAATGATGATGATGACGACGACAACGATGAAGATGATAATAACAATAAGAAGCCGGAATTTAGAACTTACTGGTGTAACCCAAAGTAAGGAAATCAGTAAGGGTACCTACAATCGAAATCAACAATAAGTATGCAGCAGCCTTGAAGAACAACCTTGCATCTTTACCCAATGCGATATCTTGAGAAGCTGAGAGAAAATCATTTACATGGGACCGAATGAAAGCTCCAATTTCGTTTACCATTTCTTCTGATAGATACAATTCTGGAAGAGGTGGAGCAGGTCTATTTTATGTCAACAAATAAGTAAAATTCATGTCAACCAGAAGAATTACAAAGCATAATGACATCTTATTCTAATGCTAATCATTATATAAATATCAACATTATGCCTGTGGCTCGTAAAGCCATAATCTGAAGCAATATGCAAACAATTATGTCTATATCAGATATTCCAAGCAGAATATGCTGTTGCTAGATTCTAAACATGGCATTTTTAACAAGGATTTGGTAAAAGGAACTGATGACATGTTATTAATTCCGAGTTTATGTAGCACGGCTGAATCGATTACCGGTGAAGAACGGCGGCGGATTTGGCCCAGAGAAAAAGAGTGACAATGAGAAGGAGGAGAACATTAGAGACAAGTGATAGCAGAGTGTAACCAGATTTCTCAAACACCACCCAAGCTGCTAGAGTCACCAACAGGATCCCCATTGTCATGTTCCCTCGCCTCCACAACATCACATCTGCAACTGTTCAAAGCAAAAAAAAAAAAAAAATAGAACAATCAACAGTTACCCTAATGGCAGTCGATCAAAGAAACACTCTTGATCTTTAAGGAAAGTTAACAGAATTCACAAAAGGGGATCAAAGAAGATCCATTTCACAGTACAAAAAATGGAAATTCAATCAAGTTCAACAGTGGATCAAACTGAATTCTGAAGAAAACCCAGAACTAAGAAAGTGAGGAACTTTACCTAAACCACCGCCAAGGATCTCATGAACAGTTCTCTGCCTGTTAAACAAGCGATCAGATGAACCCATTCACAAGAAAAAGAAAAGAAATAAACCCTTCAATGGAATCAAATATCAGATCGTTTAAACACAAATTTTTGATGACTTGAAGAGGATAAAAAGAATAAATCTACATGTATATCAGAGTAATAGATTTCTTAATGTCCTTTGAAAGGGAAGGTTGGTGGCCACAGGTTCCAGCCTAAAAGTATCATCCTATTCTTGCCTTTTCCAACTTTTCTTCTTTGTTTTTTCCTTTGAAATTCCAAATATTATTTATTAATTAAAGTAGGAGAAATTTTAGAAATTCCCCTCATACCGCTGATTTCATGTGCCTGTTTTCTACTGTTTTACAACCTTAAGATTTAGAGAATTAAGTGGTTAAAATGCTATAGTAATATCTTAAAGACTTACAGTATTCTAGTTCTAATTATAATATCATCTCCCCTAATTTGTAAGATTATCCTCCTCCGTATGACTCTGATTTCAGCTAGTTTATATCATTTTAAAAAGTATTGAAAAATATTTTTTAATTATTTAACATTATTATTAGAAAATAATAATAATAATAATAATAAAGATAAAGATAAAGATAAAGGGATAATTTTACTCAAAAATGGATCTGATAACAGCTAAAAACTATAAATTAAACTTTCAAAAGTTAAAAAAACAAGTATCGTGACAAATTTATTAAAGTAATATTATTTTTTTATTATTTGAATAAATAACACCAAAAATATTAAATATAAGTTATACTTATTTTTGGACACATGATGCCATGCAAAGTAAATGTATATTTTTTTTAATTAAATGAGAAGATACAGACGGTAAGAAACGACTTTCAAAGAAATTATATAAAAGAGAAAAATGTATGTACCACGATATCAATTGAGCACGAACGAAAATATTATATAAACAATGTCTAAATCATTAGTCAACTAATAATTTTCATCCAATAGAGATAATTTTGACAAAAAATTAAAACATCAAAAAGCTAATATGCTCCAAAAATAATAATAAGAGAAAAATAATTATTTGTGCAAATTTTAGGACTAATTTTATTATTATGCCAAAAAAAAAACTAATGTGATCAGCATAACTGAGAGGCCGTATATCTCAGAAACGAAAGTTAAATTCTGACCAGAAAATGTAAAATAAATGTGTATACAGCACAGTGCCAACAACCTCTAGGCAAATATGTTTTGCTCAAATAATCTAAACCTGGCATGAACCATTGTAGATTGCCCGGTAAATATATGTCAAAGAGAGTTTTCTCCATTAGCAGTCTTTTCCTGGCCATCTTTATTTTCATTTTCAGTTTTAGGATTGCCAGCCTCAACACTAGCTGTGGCGGGGAACGAATCCATCAGACTGGCAGCGATTGCAGCCTTCACGTCCTCATCTTCCATATCCGAAAGCATTTGCAAATCGGTATGCTGTTGGGTTGTATTGTTTCTCTGGCGTGGAGACTCTATCGATTTGCATGATTTAGTTATCCTCTCGGCATCCTCATGGTACAGCCACTGCCCGTAACCGTTAAAAGCTTCAGAGGAAGAAATGGGGAATTCTTTCGTGAAGTTTCCCCTCACCGGAAAATTGCTCCACCCAGATCCTTTTAGTGAGTCAAGATAGGCTGAGAGATAAAACCTAGAGAACTGCTCTGGAGCTGTATAAAGGCTGTTGAAATTATACCATTCTCCATTGACTTTTCTGATACAAAACCAATGGTCATTCAGATGACAAATGATTGCATTTTCCAGCTCGGGGTCAATTTGGGCCGACTCAGCAACTGGGCAGTCGAGGGGAATAACTTGCAAATCCCAGACTTCTAAAGCCTTTTGCAGAACCTATGAACAAGAACTTCTCATCAGGACAAAGCTATAAAAGTTACAAGGAAGTCATCTCGAAAATAGATCAGACATTCACATTCGCCTATTTGATCAGCCTGTCCAAATAAACAGGGAAAGAAAAATATTTTCGTTCCTAGTTCTCTGTGTCAAATCACAACCACCCAACATGTAAGAAAATTAAATTGATTAAACTTGTTAGGGGATGCATAAATGGACACAGAAACGTTGCACTTTTACAATGGAAGACACAAGGCTAAATCATTCTAAGTTGCTTCACTTGCTTGTAATACCCTAAACCAAGCAATGTCACCTTCCTAGCCCCTGGTTTGGAAAGGAACCAGCAGAGTTTTTAAATTTTACTAATGATATCCTCAACATATCTATGAACGGCTCCTCCGTCCGGACACTTGATATATTCACATATTAGGAAGCATGTTTACAATTTCACTTTAAAGGTCTATGGAGGTGAATTTTTTGTATCACATCAACTGTATTATTTTTACCTCATTGTTGATATATAAGAAATAACAATGTAAAACCGTAGATTTCAATAACCTACCAAGTAAGATTGAAGAATAACATAAATGGAAATTATCATAAGAGTGATGAATGTCGTATTCTACATTACTTTATTGACAACCACCCAGTCCACTGACCAGATAACAGCAGGATGGTAATAGGCCAGAAATAATTTACATTTTAAGATTCTAGTGTTTCACCATGATGAAACAGAAATGCTTTTCCAATATATTATACTTCTAAGGATGCTTTCTTTTTCCAACGATGAGAATATTGAAGTATTAGATCCTAAATATCTGGCTCCACCTCAGTTGACATGCAAGCACGCAGCCTTCTTTGGGAATTTACAAGTTGCTTTCTGTCATTCTATGTCAAGTGTCAACAACAACACTAAAGGAAAGTGTTTCACGGTCCTAAGCTGGCTTATACTGAAAAGACGGATTCGCGAGGCTAATATTTTGATCAGAAGCTGCACCAATTACACCCACATGATAAATGCAATCTATAATAAGAGAGATGGAAATGCATGAATGTTTTGCCTATACATCAAGATTTTCAAGTGTTCACACATTGCACAACGTGAATTGTACTGACCACATATGTGCGAGTAACGTAAAATTGTCTGATATGGTATGATCGAAAACCTACTGGATCAAAAATATAAATGCAATCAATTAGGCCCGAAATAAATAGATGTAGGTTCAAATGACGGATTCCTAGCTAAACACTTAGTTGTGCAGTGCCATATAATCAGCCACACCTTCCCACTTCATGCTTGTTTATCCAACAGGACCCGAGTAGAAACTTAACATAAAATTAGCTACTTCAGTACGTAAGACACAGAAAGTACCAGTTTCTTAACCTATGGAAATAATAATGAATTTGAATTCAATAAAAGTAAAACCCAATTGCATACCAAGTGTATGTAACTATATCACAATCAAACTGATTGGAGAATTCAAATCATTCATGCATTAATCTAATAACTTCTGTCCTAATTACTGAAACTCCGAATGAACTATTGTTCAACTCTTATTGATTTTATTCGACAAAAAGCTCTTTTTTCAATATTAGGTTAAAAAGGCCCAAAATCGCTAATTATTTTTCTTGTTCGATCTTCCCACGTTATTGAGTGCTGCTAGACCGATTTCGGGAACATAGAGCAACAGAAAAGCATAAAGAGAAAGAAGAAGAACCTGGACGCTAAAATCGCCGCCGAGGGAGACATTGTGAGATTCCTCGGAGAGGAAACCGCCAGATGAGGCGGCGGCGGTTCCTTGGAACATCATCTGGCGCTCCTTGATGTCAAGATCGGAGGCCAACGCCGCTAAATCGAATTCGGAGAAGAAAGGTCCTTGCAACACCTTGTTGATGCAGTGGACGGCGCAAAGATTAGATTCTTGTACCTCATGGTACAAGATCCCTCCGTTGCTCGCTCCCTCCATCCCACCAAAACCAGTCAATTAAACACTGATTCGCTTAATTTATAAAAAAAAAACCTAAAAGCTAATAAAACCCTTTCGACTTCAATGCAAGGGTGAAGAAGATGACGATTAAGACCGAATGTTAGATAACGTTACACTCCTATTATTTAGTTTGCGTCATCGGACTCAAATATAAAATTCTAATATTTGGTCGAGAAAAATATAATTTTTTATTAGTTTATGGTATATGTGTAACGACGAAGCGATTTATGTGATAAAAGAATTATTGTTATTATTTAATGATTAGATTTGAGCATTATAAATATTAGGGATGTGAACCTTTATAATCGAAATATTAAGAGTTTTCTTTGAATGTCTTGTATTTATCCTAAATTAATAAAAGAAAAAAAGATGGTATTATGTTTATAATTCTTTAAGGTAAAAAGATATCAAAGATGTTGTATTTTTTAAAAATAATGTGACATTCATATTATTTTTTTTAATGTGACTATCAAACTTAAAAAATAAATTTAATGTGATTCTTTGACTAATGTTTTTCGTCATTTGACTATTTTGGTACTGACATGACAATTCACGGTGCTGACATGACGATCCATGATACCGATATGACAGTCAATCTGTCATGTTTGAGTTACCAATTTAATATATTTAACATGTTATCTGTCACGTTATCAATCACTATGGACTATCACGTCACACTTCAACACCGTGGATCGCCACGTCAACACCGTGGATCGCTATGTTAACACCGTAACGATCAACGAAGAAATACGTTGGTCAAAGAATCACATTGGACTTATTTTCTGAGTTAGAATATCCTATTTAGGGGGGAAAAGAGAATAATATGATAACCACATTGTTTTTTTAAAGTACAATACAATTACTCGAACTCAATACTTCAATAAAAAATAATATTTCTTTTAATCGTTGAGACGACCCAATAAATACAAAAACAAATATGATTATTGAAATACAAGTTAATTATTTTTGTCATATAATCTAATTCTCAATTAATTTAAATTTATTTAATACATATGCTGATTTTTTAGGATTAGTTAGCTATTTCCTATGATGTTTTGTTGTATCTTTTATACTATAAAAGGAGGTAGCATCTTCTAATCACATAACTTGAATCATTTTCTTTTTAAAATAAATATGTTTTTAGAATATATTTTTTTCAAGTGTTGATACTTGTGTCTTCGATATTATTCTTCAACAAGTTTTCTTCTTAGTTTTCGTGGTGAATTTTCACACTTCATATTACTAAGAATTTATTATTTGAGGGTTGATTAGAGTATTAGATGGAGTTTGTTTGAACAATCACACTCTGATTTTTCACGATTTTAAATATTTTCATAATATTATAAATAAACACTTTAACTAGAATCAACTTACCTCAATGGTTAAAGAAATCGTTGTTGTTCTTAGAAGTCACGGGTTTGAGCACCAGCGGCTGTAACAGGTTAATTGAACATTTATTTTTAAATGGTTGAGAGTATTTAGAACGTATACTACTTGTAATCATCTTATAGCTTAATAAATAAATAAATAAATAAATGTTTTAGAATAATTTAATATAAAATTTATAAATATGTAAAAGTAATTATTTTATTATTTTATTTAGAAATTATTTTTTATTTCCAAATAAAGTAAAAATTATTCTTTAATTTAAGAATGATACAAGTAAGTATTAAGTTTGATATAATAAAATTTCTAAGCTAAATACAAAAATATGTTAAAATTAACATAAATGATTAGCTTAATTTAATGGTTTAGTGTCTTGCATTTTCATGGAAGAAGTTTAGGTTCATTTCATGCTTAGAGCTATAATACTCTCTCTTATTTTATCTCATAGTTGGTGACACATGTTACTATTTAATTGATTAAATAAAATTAATTAAAAATAATGACAGAGAAATAGAAAATTGTTATGGAAAAAAATTTGACATATCACGTCACATCAACATTATCATTAATCATTTTAAAAAATCTAAAAATATTAAAATGAAATAAAAATAATAATATAAATATTAAATATATAATTTATCCTTTTAATATTTAATAAAAATATTTAATTAAAAATATATTTTGTTACGTCATTTTAATAATATATTACGATATACACCTCGTCGTTACACTTAAAAATATTTCTAAACGCATTACTAAACTCGAAACCATAGTTGGTGAGGTTGTGTAAACTAATGAATATAAATTCCAACTGTAAACTACCTACTCTAACCAACACGCTTCCCATTTCCCAACAAATGCCATCCACGTCTCTTCCTTTAATATCGTCTAAACAAATTTAATTCATAAATATTTGTTTTGTTTATCACGATATCTTTTGTCATTTTAAATAAAATATTATATTTGAATTTATTAATTGATTTTAGTAATAAAAATAAGTATTATATTTTTATAAGATTGAATTTAAATAATTATATTTATGGTATGTGTGTTCTAGACTATTTATAAATAAATATAAAAAGAATTTGGCCTGTTTTTTTCTCAATTTCTATAAAATAATATTTGAAAGTATTATGTTTAATAAATTTATCAAAATTTGATTTTGGAAAGTGGAGTCTAATCCTAAAAACATGTTGGCGCAGCGGAGGCGAGCCCGAGGAGGAGGGTCATCGAATCAATCGAGCCCTTGGGCTAGCCCACGTGCGAGTGACAAGACCTAGTCACCCCTTTCCTTGGGTAAAAACGCCTCTCCATCACATAAGAAGTATAGACATATAAGAGAATCAAAATAAGTAAATAAAAACAAAAGTAAATTATAGTTTTCATCGCTTAATTTTATTATCGTTTCTATTTTAGCTACTGAAAATTATTTTTTTTAAATTTAATCATTAATTTTTTTGAATTACTATTGTTTTGACCGCTTCATCATTAAATACTTAACACATTATGACACGACTTACAATACCAAAATGATATCGATTTCTAAAAGTAAGTTTACACCAAAAAAAAGTCATTTTCTTTCCCCTTTCATTTTCTCTTCGTCTATTCAAAATTCAACCAACACTTATCATGATTGGTTACTGCGTCAGTCACCGTCGCTCATAATCAATACAATTAATGAGTTCTGCATTTTTTTTATCAAACTTCTTTACCCTCCAAAATGTAAATCTAGCTTACTTTTAATCGAAAAATACCATAAATTTCACAAATACAAACATTGAATGTTTCAATTTCTTATTCTTTGATCTCCATCCATTGTTAAAGTGAATTCAGACATAAATATATTACTCCCTGACTCAAGAAAGGACTCTCCACCATAAAGAGAAAACGCATATAATATAATAATCCCTTACATATTCAAACTTTTACATACGAGATCTATCAACAGTTTATGAACCAAAGTGGAACATACGAGAGCTTGAAGATAGCTGACACAAATCTCTGGAAAATTAAAACAAGAAACCATACGTATATGCCGAGAAATGTGAACGGTTTAACTTAAGGGCCGATTGGGTAATCAGTGGGAGTATAATTTATAAAAAAAGAGTTAATTAAATATTAATTATCCCAATGTGGTAGCTCAAAAATCTATAAAAGGTTACATATCACCAGCGTTAGAAATATAATGGTGGAGTGTCTTAAAAGAACTCAAAGTTAAATGATTAAATTGCAAACTTTTAAATTTTAGTGATTAAAATAGGAGTGAGAGTAATGTTAATCGATATATTTTGAATTTATCCTAAAAATAATATGCAAATTATTAATAAATCTAACTAGGCGTTTCGATTGACGATCTCCACGAAGCTCCTTCTTTCCTTTCAAATTTAATACTCCCATTTCTCTGCTCCTCAAACTCATTTCTTTCTTTCTCTCTCTCAATATATTCGATTCACTACTCTCTGGTAAATCTCCGACTAAGTTCATCTGTTTTTTTTATCTTAAACTTAATTTGATATTGTCTGATTTGTATATCGTTATTGTTCTTTCTCTCGCTTTTTTTTCCTGAACGATTCTCTGCATGGATGCTGAGAAAATGGAGAGGAAAAATATGAGATTCAAGTTTGTGTTTTTTGATTTTAGAATGTGCTTATTCAGCTGAAACATGTAAGCTAAGTATTCATAAGAATTAATTTGGAGATTTCCTTTTTAGGTAATCAGAGATAGGAAATCAAACTGCTAATTTGTGTAACTTTCTTTCTTAATGATTTATTTTTTCGTTTTTCTTACGTTTCCTAGTTTATCTTACTTAGAAGTAGTGTTCAAATTATTTTAAGAAATCCAGTTTATCTTTTTTTCTTCTAATCATTAGACTGAATTTTGGAGATTTGACTGTTTGGGTTTCGTGTAGAGTTCTGATATATCTAAGCTCGAGGCGTGATGGCGTCTATTACATATTCTCCAGCTGCATTTACTGGAACTTCAGCTTCCGATCTTCTTGGAAGCTCCAGTAATGGCATGAGCGGCATCCCTCTTGAAACCCTAGGGACGCCACGATCTGCCGTGTCAAAAAGGGGTGTAACTGTAGTTGCAAAGCTGAGGAAAGTGAAGAAGCATGAATATCCGTGGCCTGCAGATCCGGATCCAAATGTGAAAGGCGGAGTCCTAAGTCATCTTTCCCATTTCAAGCCTTTGAAAGAAAAGCAAAAGCCTGTTACTTTGGATTTTGAGAAGCCCCTTGTAAATTTCGAGAAGAAGATGATTGATGTAATTCCTTATTTCTAGTGACTTTTGATTTTTCTGATCATAACAATCCCGTGGTTGCTTCAAATTTTATGTTTGTTTCATATGCAGGTGAGGAGGATGGCAAATGAAACTGGATTGGACTTCAGTGATCAGATTATATTATTGGAGAATAAATATCAACAGGTACAATTATTTTGTTTGAGACAATCTGAGAGTACTTTAGTTGTTTCCATGAAGTAATATAATTTCTAGTTATACATTTATATGTTCCTTTGAGTCGATACATATTCAGCCTGTTAATGAGAGTGAAGTTGAGTATGGAATATGTTTTCGCGTGCTCAATTTAATTATGCCAAAACTGAATATTAGGTCAGGAAGTTATATTTAATATTGGCTGATAAAATGTTTCTGATGTTGCAATTTCTATGGCATTTATTTGTTATTTAGAATTTTATTATAGTACTTGATTTTATTTTTGGATTCATTCTCTTATTGCAGACGATTATCAATAGTAGAACATTTATATGCTTGCTTGAAATTCTGTGGTGTTAAACTACAAAATCTATGATTCTTCTTTAAGTCTGCTGTAAGCTTGATACCTTAATAAGGGATGAGCTTAATTCAATGTTTCGGAAAAGGCTTGCACACCATTTAGTGTTGATGTGCTGTCAAAGATATTGATGTTTTGCCATGTTTGTGGTTCCCGGTTAACTCTTATCATCCTTTCTGTTATTTATTTCAGGCCCTGAAGGACTTATACACACATCTAACCCCTATACAACGTGTGAACATTGCCCGGCACCCTAACAGACCTACATTCCTTGATCATGTATTTAGCATCACTGATAAGGTTTGGTGGTTGCATAACCTTTAACTCGGATATTAAATTCTTCATATTCTTGTCAACATTATCTTTAACATCCAGTGTGTGGAGGGTGAAGAATTGTTCTAATAAATGTTTTGTACATTTTCCTATGTCTAGTTTGTGGAGCTTCATGGAGATCGATCGGGGTATGACGATCCAGCTATTGTTACTGGTATAGGAACCATAGATGGTAGGCGATACATGTTTATTGGTCAACAAAAGGGTAGAAACACTAAAGAGAATATTCAGCGTAACTTTGGAATGCCAACTCCCCATGGGTAAGTATATGAAACTTGCATGTTGAATTTTACCTTTCAAAGAGAGAATCTGTCACTCTTAACTGATATTTAGGAAATGCTTACAGTTACAGGAAGGCTCTGCGCATGATGTATTATGCAGATCATCATGGTTTTCCTATAGTTACTTTTATTGACACTCCTGGGGCGTATGCTGACCTTAAATCTGAGGAGCTGGGTCAAGTATGGGGACTATTGTATTATGAAGCATACCAGATCTACTTTTAATGTTAGCACAACTGATTTTTATGCGTTACATTCATGTAGGGTGAAGCTATTGCCCACAATTTGAGGACCATGTTTGGTCTGAAGGTCCCGATTGTTTCTATTGTTATCGGGGAAGGTGGCTCTGGCGGTGCCTTGGCCATTGGCTGTGCTAATAAATTGTTGATGTTGGAAAATGCAGTCTTTTATGTTGCCAGGTATTGAGATGTCCTATATTGTTTTTATTGAATGTCATTTAAGCCTGTACCACCTGCCTTTTTGAACCCACACAATATATGAAATTGCAATTGGTTAAAACCTTATTTTTCCTTGTTGTACCTGGTAAGATTGTATATTATTCCTTGTAAATGTTGATCTTTTTTAGATGACATTTCTAATTGTGCTGAAATTTCATTTCTTTCCTATTTCTTTAAATGGTATAGTCCAGAAGCCTGTGCTGCAATTTTGTGGAAGACTGCCAAAGCTTCTCCAAAGGTTCGAAATAAATTATTGGTTTTAGGCTTAGTTTTTAGTAATTTTTATTTTCTTATTAGTATTTAAGGTTTTCATCTATACGCAGGCAGCTGAGAAGCTGAGGATTACTGCTCCAGAGTTGTGCAGGCTGGAAATTTGTGATGGGATTATTCCGGTGATTAACATTGTTTCTCCAATGTCTTAAGTGAATTAGTTTTTCTACGTGTGCCTTTTTCTTTTCCTTCTTTTTTACTGTTTTTGTTTCTCTGTTTCTAGCTACGAAAATATGATAAACCTACTACAAGCAATTTCTTGTAGCAAAGCTGACTGTTATGGGAACCATTTTGCTACTTTTATTAGCATACCTTCTATCTGATGTTTGACAAAAATGCTGTATTTGGTTTTCAAAGTATATGCATTTCAACAGCATTAATGGTTGAGTTTCTCCCGATTGTTGTTTCCTTTGGAAGTTCATGTTAATTAACATGACATCTGACACTTTTACGTTTGATAGGAGCCACTGGGTGGTGCCCATGCAAATCCAGCTTGGACTTCACAACAAATAAAAGCCACAATTAACGAGTCGATGGATGTAAGTTCCACTAGCAGTAGTTATCTATCGAGAATTGTATTATAATATATTAACAAAATCTTATTCTGCAGGAGCTCACTGCAATGAACACTGAAGAGCTACTACACCATCGCAATCATAAATTCAGGAAACTGGGTGGCTTCCAAGAAAATGCACAGTTAGATCCCAAGAAGAAGGTCAATATGAAAAAGAAGGAAGACACTGTTCGTAGAACCTCAAATGTAGAGTTGGAAGGTGAGGTTGAAAAACTGAAACAGCAAATCTTGAAAGCCAAGGAATCATCCAGCAAGCCTCCTGAGATGGCTCTAAAGGACATGATAGAAAAATTAAAAATTGAGGTTGATCATGAATATTCTGAGGCCATCAAAGCCATGGGCTTGAAGGACAGGCTTGAGATGTTGAAAGAAGAAGTTTCAAAAGTTAATTCCAGGGACCAACTCACCGATCCTGTTATAAGGAATAAGATTGAGAAGCTTAAAGATGAATTCGGCCAGAATCTATCAGCAGCTCCAAATTATTCAATCCTCAAATATAAGCTTGACATGTTGAAGGAGTTTTCGAAAGCCAAGAGTCTCTCGGATGCAGCTACACTGAAGCAGGAAGTTAATAAGAAATTTAATGAAGTCATGAGTCGGCCTGATATAAATGAGAAGCTTGAAGCAATAAAGGCTGAGGTTCAAAATTCCGGTTCAGCCAGCTTTGCGGATTTAGATCAAGGGCTGAAGGACAAAGTTATTAATATGAAGAAAGAGATAGAATCGGAAATGATAAGTGCTCTCAAGTCCTTTGGTTTGGATGTTGTTGTTGTAAAGTCTAATGCAAAACTCCTTAGTGAGAGAGCTTCACTTTCAATCTTCAAAAGTAAGGTGGATAATTTGAATGAAGAAATTAGCAAGAAAATTGAAAATGTTGCCAGTTCATTTGAGTTGAAGAATATGATTGAGTTGTTGAAGCTGGAAATAGCAAGGGCAGGAAGGAAACCTGATACTGAGTCGAAAAGTAAGATTGAGGCTCTACAAAAACATATTAAGCAAAACCTTTCTGAAGCTATCATCTCTTCAGAATTGAAAGAGAAGCATGAAGAGTTGAAGGCAAAGATTTCAGAAATGGTACAGTCTTCTGCTGGAACTGATGGAAATTTGCCAAAGGAAACTAAGCATGAGGAACCTGGAGTAGAAATCAATTTGGATTCAAACCACAGCTTTGCTCAGTGTGTGTAGCTCCTTGCATTATACGTTATCTGGTTCTTTTATTTTTGCTTTTAGTTTCTGATGAATAATTGAGATTCCTGACATTATTTATTTAGATGCTTAAGGATATATACGATCTAGAACAAGGTTTAGAATAGTTATAGTTTATGCTCAAATGGAATTTATTTATTTATTGTTTGTCCATAATGCGTTTTAGTATTATAGTATATATTAAAAAGGTCTAAATTCACAAATGAACTACTTTTTATGAAAGAGTGGCTAGTTTAAACTCTTAATAGCTTTGCTAATTTATTTGATCAGTACTATTGACTTGTATTCAACAGGATCTTCTTTCGGTCAGAATGTTACTGAGGGAGATGGTATAGAAAGAGATGGTGTTTGAAGTCTGCTTGAAGAACTAAAATTGTATCGGAGGAATTATTCAAACTCAAGCCTTCAAAGAGCTACCAAATCCTCCGTTGCACCTGCCAGAGGACACAAGGTTTTGCATCTATGAGAACACTGACTGGTTATCGCATATTGCTCAATCTTTCACTTTTTTTCTCCTAAGCTGAATTTCACCATTTTGAATTAGGGATGCTAAAAGAATTTCCCTTTGGATGTTGCTTTTATCTGATTTATTGGTAGACTGTGTTTTCTCTTTACTCATGGACAAAGAACACTGTATAGGTTGTGTGATCTCTAGGGGAGACCAAATAACCAGTGGCATGCAGGAATAACCCCCAATTTTCTTTACAAAAGACTTTTCTGCCAAGTTTGTGGCCGAATCATGTTTATGTGTTAGTCTACGGCAATGCAAACGGTGTTTTAATTTTTGGTTCCCCTTTGTCTGAAATGTATCGTGTAGTTCGTAAATTGTTGTCTTGTTGAATCATCTGCACTACCTTTGGCATACATTATCTAGTTTAATGCAGATAGCATGTTGACACTCTTTCAAGCGGTTAAAGCATATTTCTTCGTGTGGTGAGAACGAGTAAACGACCTACATTTTACTTGTAAATTTTGCATTCAATTACAACCCAGAACATAGCTTTTGTTTATGGTTTGAGCCAAGAACAGATTAAAACATAAAAGGAAGTCAATTTTCATTAATCAAACCATTCAAAAGCTACAATTTGATCACTGAATCAATCGAAAGACACTCTTATTCTTCTTCTCTATCTTGTGATTACAACAAATCTCTCAATACATAAACGGAATCACAGCTTTTCTCTTCTTGGGAAACTCATCCTTAAACTTCTCTAAATACCAATGGCGGGTAGCACGAGCTCTAGGCATCAAGTTAGCACAGGTATAGAGAAAGAACCCAAAAACCCACCCAAGACCAAGTCATAACCGCCCACCCAAACCACTCCAAAATCTCCCCAAAATAGTTCGGGCAACTCACCAACTCAAACAACCCTCCACTCGGAACCTTATATCCACCGCCGCCCTGCTTTTTCAGCCCCACCAGCACTTCATCAGCCCAAATATTCACCTTCATCCCAACCCCAAATATCAGCAACCCACCGAGAAACTTCCACCAAAAAAAGCCCATCACTCTCGTAGTCGTCCTTGTAATGAGAAACCCACCTGGCTTGCAGATAAGCATCCAACAGATTGAACCCAAAAGCCGTGAGAGCTATACTCACCGGAAAAACCTTACCGTTTCCGTTCCTCGAGAGCCGAAGAGGGTAGAGCACGGTGCGATTGAAGTAGTGAAGGAGAAACGGGGAGATGAGAACGAATGATTTGGGGTTGGAAAAATGTTGGCCGAAGGGGAAGAGCAAGAGAGTGAGCCAGAGGGTGGGGCTTTCCATGAAGAACCAAGCCAAAGGAGGAGAAATGGTGGGACCCCAACCGGGGCGATTGTGCTTGCCGTAAGGGGCCTGGAGGAAGTAAAGGCTGATCCATGTGGGTGGGACGATCAGGTAGAGGCTGAGGAGGCTGTAGTTAAAAAGAGTCCGATCGGATTCCATTTTTTTTTTTGGTTTTTGTTTGACGAGAGAGAAGGATCTGGATCCAAGGTGAAGTTGGCAAAGAGAACATCTAATTGAATTTCTAGTTTAAAAGTGGTGGTACCACTTCAATTACCTCAGCTGCCTTCCTAATCCTACACACCTATTGGTCTGCTACGATTAAATATTCTTTCGGATTTAACCTTAATTAATTATTAGGTTTGATTGCTAAACTAACATGACATATTTCATGTGACTAAATACAAAAATAAATTTATTATTAAATAAAAAATTAAAATTTATTCTATTTTAGCTCCTCCTCTCTAATTATCCAACTCTCTTACCTTTTTTACATTTAAACGTTAGAATTCATTTATAACCTAAATGGTAAAAAAAAATAGGGCAAGTAAACAAATGATCTCGATTAGATAGTGTTGTTTTGTTGAGTGCTTCGAGTATTAGAAGTTACAAATAGTCCATGATCATACGATGTTGTTTTGTCGAGTCCCTCAACTGTTAAAAGTTATAAAATGGTCACCCTGACTATTTATTATGATTCAAACTCGTCCCTTTTCAGTTAAAAATAACAACAATCTGAGCTGGATGTTAATATAATATATGAGATATAATAGTCGTTGTGAGATTATTGGATCAAACTTTATCATATCTCAAAGAATAGATTAACATCTAGCTTAGACTGTCATCAAATGTTTAACGAAAAAGGACTATTTTGAAGCATAATAAATAGTCAGATGATTATTTTGTAACTTTTAATAGTTAGGGGACTCAACAAAACACTATCATATAGATAGATGATCATTTTATAACTTTTAATAATTGAAAACTTAATAAAGAAACATTATATATCAGGACTTGCTCTTCATGGATTCTTCCAAAATGGAATCTTGACATTTTGCTCTTCTCCTGCGTGCATCTTTCTCTCTCGCCTCTCATGAGATCCATTTTTTAAATTTGCTGTTAAAGTTAGTCTTCGCTGTTATGAAGTTAGTTAGAAGTGGTTAGGATGGTTGTTTGCTAGGAGAGAGTAGCCATTGTGTTTGTGTTTAGTATGATGTGATTAGAGAACTTGTTTGCTCAAGAATATGTATCTTGTATATGTTTTCATTTTATTTACCTTTTGGTATAGGTTATAAGTTTATGGTGCTTGGTAGATACTGAATGTTTGCTAGTATGGACTTGAATGATTCCCCATTACCTGAAGATGATGAAGACGCATATGATAGACATGTAGAACATTACTCCGCACCGGAAGAACATGTAGAATCTGCAGTTGAAATTTTGCGGAGGGTACGTCTTGAATTTTCTCTTTTTTGATGTCTACCAAAGTTTGGTAATGATTCATGCATTTTTTTAAATATTTTTTCACTCTTGGTTATAATGATTTAGGCAATTCCTGAATATTTTTTTCTGGGCATTGATGGATAGGTGATATTGTGTTGTAGATAAGAGAAATGGTTGTCTTCATGTGCATATGATATGTTGAAGTTTTTTGTGCTAATGTAGTTGACGTTCTGAGTAATGGAGACTTATCGGCATGATGGATGACTGATAAGAGGCATTGTGGCTTCTTGTGCAAGGAAATTGTTTAGATCTTTTATTTAGCATAGTTACAAACAATTGTTTCTTTTATTTATGAAAAATCAATGTGTTCATATTATTTAACATGCACATATGTTCCTTTTTATTTTTTTGTATCTCACTCTTCTCCCATATGTTTCCTGAGTTGAGCACATCGCTGCATTGAATTTTTCACTCTGTAATAATTATTTTTGTGCACCGTTGTTCATTGTGCATGGTAATGGAATTTGCTTCTACTAGGAACGCGAGGAAAGACGGAAGAAGTTGAAAAAAGACCAACCAAGTGACCAGCCAGTACATGTCTCTCAGCCTCAAATACTTGATCACTTCTATCAGAATAGGAATCCAAAGTTTTATGATAAAAGTGGGATCCCTCCTGGTAAGATCCTTGACATTGCACAATAATTTCTCTATTTTTTTTGGTCATTCTCAATGTCGATAACATTGCTTTTCCATAACTTCCATTGCCCAAATACTGTGGTGTTTTTTTACGTAGTGTTTATTCATCTGTATCTTTTTTAATTAAAATAAAAATAATTGCTGTTAATAATGGTTTTATGTGTCAACAAATTAATGAAATGGTATCTACAACGTCAACGGTCAATATAACTGTATGAATGATTGTTTCAGTCTTTCAGATACAATAAAAACTAAAAACACAGATTTCAATTTTTACTTGTTTCATTTGCTCAAGATGACCATCTGAACTTATTTGAAATTTCAAATTCATGTTGTTGCTCAAGTTATTGGCTTGTTTTTCCAAACGATTTGCAGGTTGGTTGGGTTGCCCTTCGGTTGGTCAGGAAATAGGCTGCATCATTCCTTCTAAAACTCCACTTGGTGAATCCTATAATGACTGTGTTCCGCCTGGCAAAAGATACTCTTTTAAACAAGTGATTCATCAGCAAAGAGTTTTCGGAAGAAAGGTTGCATTTCTTTTCTCATTTCAGTGTTAATACCTTGTTGGTTTTCCCATTTAATGCAATGCAGATCTCCTCTATCATTGTCTCGACATGTAAACAGCATGTCAAAATCCTTATGGAATATTCTAGAAACCCTCAAATTAGGGGTGTAAACGAGCCGAGTCGAGCTCGAGTATTGCTGAGCTCGACTCGACTTGAAAACTTTGAAATGGAGCTCGACTCGACTCGAAAACTCGCGAGCTTAAAAATTTTCAAGCTCGACTCGAACTCGAAATCCTGAACTGAAGCTCGTGAGCAGCTCGAAAAGGCTCGAAATGAAAAAAAAAATTCTAAAACTTAACTCGATTGAAGCCTCAAACTCAAACTCGAATATGAACCTTAAATACATGAAATCTTACTGTATTTTTTTTTTAAAAAAATTCAATACATAAATATTAATATTATTATTAATTTATTTTTTTAAATAAAATCTTAATATATTATATTTTCGAGCTGCTCACGAGCTTTTCGAGTCGAATATCGAGTAGCTCGTTTCAGCTCGTTAAGAACTCGAGTCGAGTCCATTCGATCCGAGTATTTATCGAGCCTTGATCGAGTCGATCTCGAATAGCTCAAATATGCTCGGTCATGTTAAGTGTTAACGATATATAGAATTAAAAAATGCATTTAGGGACTAATTATACATTAATGGCAATGGACATGGTTATAGCATTCGAGATTTTGTGAAAGTATTTGTTCTAAGGGCTTGAACCAGTGCATTTTTGCTTGCAGAAAAACATGTTAGATATCAGTTTTTGATATATTAGACTTGTGGAGTAAGATTTTAAATTGGATAATAAGTTTGACGTTACATGTGATGTTCTGGTTTCAGCTTGGTTTGGTCGTTGATTTGACGAACACATCTCGTTACCATCAAACTACAGACCTGAAGAAAGAAGGCATTAAGCATGTAAAAGTGAGTAGATTGTTATTATAGTTTAATGCTATTCTTGTTGTTTGCAGTTTTGGTTTTAATATTTTCGGTATTTGTTGTAGGTTCAATGCAGGGGCAGAGACGCTGTACCTGATAACTTGTCTGTAAAAACTTTTGTTTATGAGGTAGATTTCCATTATAATTGTCTACCGTTTCCAGAATCTACTAGAATATCTGCCTATATATCTTCTTGAAATGTGATTCCTTTAATAGATTCAGTCTCAACTCCCATGCCGCTTTTATCACATAATGACCAAAGTTTTGGCTGGTCTTATATGTTCCCTTATCATCATGGCAATGCAAACATAGTACTATCTTGTACTCTCCAACATAAATTCGACCTTATGTCGTAATGGATACTGTCTCCATACTTTGTTTCGTTCATCTAA